GGATGCTGGTGCAACGTGATGGGAAGGTGCTCTGCCAGCGCGGGGGGGCGGGCAGTCCCGGGCTTATGCCCCCAGTTAAGTCTCGTTTTGTGGAGGAGGCTAAACGCGAAGAGTCGCATTCCTAGAGGTTGACACCAACACCAATATCAGCAGTGTGCCTCCACCGAGGGAAGAAGATCCCGATCTCGGCGAAGGTGGTAATATTCTGGCTTCCAAGGAGACCGAAATATTGCCAGCAACACCGAAATCTAGGATCAGATTCCCCTTGTGAAGGCAACCCCCTGTGTTGGTGTTGGTGCCCAGTTCCAGGTCTCCAAACGAAGAGAAAACGGCAGAATGTATCCTTTTGGAGCTCCGCGCCGCGCGGATCTCTTGCATCTGCAATGCCCCCCCTCCTGACGGCGCATTCCGCGCCGCCCCTGGCGCGCTCCGCGCGCCAGTGAGGGGGTCCAGCGCCGATCCAGGAAATCCGCCCGGACCTCCGAAAGTTTCCCGCCACACCGCTTGCATCTGGAGGTTCTGAATCACGTTCCCGGGCAGCTCGGCGCTGGTGCCGGTCCAGCCGGCTCGTCGCCGCCCGTCGCCGCTCGTGGCCGCCGTCCGTCGCCGCCACTTGCACTGGGCCCCGGAGCTGCTCCGGCTGGCTCGTCGCCGCCCGTCGCCGCCGTCCGTCGCCGCCGCTTCCACTCGTCCACTCGCACTCGTCCTTCAGTATCGTTTCACCAATCCCCATCCCCATCCCCATCCCATTCGAGACCCCTACCAAATTACCACCCCAGTTGGGGATACACCCCTCGAAACTCGAAGGATGAGGCCTACATCCCCATCTAGGGGGGTACATCGGCCAGTGGGGCCCAGGCCACGCCGCTGGGGATGGGGATCGGTTAAACGATGCTCAGTCCATTCGCACTCGTCAGTTCGCACTCGTTCACTCGTATAGCATAGCATAGAACAGCATAGCCCAGCTTACTGCAGTTTAGCATCGTCTAGGTTGGCATAGCTTGGTATAGCCTGGAATAGCACAGAGGGCATCGCATGTGATAGCATAGCATGGTGAACCAACTAGGTGCGACTTTAGATTGCACCGCATCGATTACAGTGGGGGATATTGCCCCGCATGTATGCTAATATTATGTGTCTGCAATGTTCTGCTCCTCCAGGTTTCTAAGCCACATCCGAGGCAACAGAAGTCGATCCGAGAACTCGAGCATTTCGGGCGGAAGTTCCTCGAACAGGTTGCTTGAGCTCCGGTTCGAAACAGTTTCGAAACATACGAATTTCGCGGGACCTTTCGGAAGGGGTGCGTGTTGAGTTCGAAGCAAGAAGAATATGAGCGTCTCGACCAGACTCAGCCAACATTTTAAACACGCTCACGTAAGCGTTCGTGAGGTACTGCTTGTAGCCCCAAGGCCCAGCCCCATTAAATGGCTTTGTTTGCCACGCCTGAGTTCCCATGACATCCTGCCCATCATGCATCCCATGGCAGGTCCAAGGCCTTCAGAGACCCAGCCCTGGTGGATCCTCTAGGATCGGTGGGCAGACCTTAGCAGGGACGGAGGAGGAGAAGAAAATGAAGAATGTGGAGGAGAAGGTAAGGAGGACCTCACCAAGCTGTCGCCAGACTTCAACGACGCTGCCCTATTCTTCTTCCTGCTCCTCCTCCCCCTCCTCCACCTCTTTCTCCTCCACTGACACCCGACGTCGTGATGATTGTCACAACGTGGCTTCTTAGCGGTTTGGACCCCGTCCTGTGGACCATCTTGGCATCCCGAGTCGTTTCTGACGACCCCGGAGCCCGGGAAGGGCCCCCGGAGGCCGAAAGTTGCCAAACGGAATCTGACGCGACCCCTTCACGACGAAAGGATGTCGGGGGTCCTCCTCGCCCCTACCCGAGATCGGTCCGCAATCTGTTCGATGTGCTCTGCCCGTCGTTGGGTTCAGTGGGAGCCCTGGTCTTCGCGCCGCTCCTCAGACGCCCCTCAGATCTGGACAGAGGAGCCCAGTCGTGGCCAAGGCTTGCCGTGGCCAGGACCGCCCCTGCGATCCGTCTCCAGCGCTTCTTCTGGTAGCACGATGACTGTACGGCCTCCCCTCATCGATGCCCGCGCGCGACACGGCCACTGACGATGCCGCGCCACCCACGGTCTCCGCGCGCCCTGCGCGGGTGCTTAGCCCTCCGCCAGGGGAGGACGAGGAGGAGGAGGAGGAGGAGGAGGAGGAGGAGCACGAGGACGAGGAGGAGGAGGAGGAGGACGAGGAGGAGGAGCACGAGGAGGAGGAGGAGGAGGAGGAAGAGGCGGAGGCGGAAGAGGGGGGGCGGAAGGAAGGATGGAGGGGGAAGGGGGCATGGGGGGGCAGGAGGGGGGGGAGGATGGCGGAGGAGGAGGAGGAGGAGGACAAGCTAGGTGCGCTCGCGTCATATCTGACATCCTACCCCTCCCTCCCATCCCTTACCATGGCGTAGATCCCCTCTCTACTCGCACAGTCGGATGTCGAGCAGGGCAATGATCCCGAAAGGGTACGCGATGCATTGTAGAGCACGGCATGGCATGGCGTAGAAGAGCACCGCAAAGCGTAGTATGTCACAGCATGGCGTGGCGTGGCGTAGTGAAGAATTGCATCACAAAGCTTTGCAACGCAAAGCATGGCATCGCACAGCGGCCCCGAACATAACATTGCATAGCATTGCGTTGAAGATCAAAGCGTAGCATGGCATAGCACGACGTGGCACTTAAGCACTGCATATTACAGCTTCAGCTGAAGGCATGGCATCGCGCAGCGGAGCGCAACCTAGCATTGCATTGCATGCCGTGGCATGGCACGGGAAATGACGCCAGCGCTGCAGCGGGAGCAGGATTCGGAACGAGCGGAAGCGCGGAAATGAGGCCAGCGCTGCAGCGGGAGCAGGATTCGGAACGAGCGGAAGCGCGGAAATGAGGCCAGCGCTGCAGCGGGAGCACGATTCGGCGGGGCCCGAAAATGAGGACGGCGCCCCAGCGAGAGCAGCATTTTGAAAACACATGCAGGCGAACACCCAACTCCGGGGAATCCTGCGTGTAAAAAAACCGTACGCGGGGGGGGGGGGGGGCGAACACTCCCAACCCGTCATCAGGGGAAGGAGGAGAGTAGTATTCATATTGAGTAATTGTGGAGCAGGAGCAGGAGGAGGAGGAGGAGGGAGGAGGAGGAGGGGGAGGAGGATGGAGGGAGGAGGATGGAAGGGGGAGGGGGGAGGAGGGGGGGATGATGAAGGAGGAGAAGGAGGAGGATGAAGAGGAGGAGGAGGATGAGCAGGATGGAGTGAGGATGAGGATGATGTAGTAGGGGAATGGGGGGTTGAGCATCGACCTAAGTGTACTGCTTGCGTCAGCGAGGGGCCAGGCCTGGACCTGAGCAACCCTGGACCCCCTGGCCGTCATCACGATACAGTGCAGGTCGACAGACACGAATGGGCACGACGAGCAGCGCGATGCCTACCGCGAGCGAGAGCGCCCGCAGCGCGGCGATGCACAGCCGTCACGAGGAGCCCTTCTGACCATCGAGGAGCCTCCGCGCCCGCTCGCGCACGTCTAAGGAGCCCTTCGCCCTGGGGGTCTTGAAGGCCCGCTAGCTGTTGGCCGGCGCGAAGGAGAGGACGAGCGCGTTGACGAACGTTGAGCCACGCTGTGGTGTCTCTGCAAAGTTGCCGACCCAGCCCCGCCGCCAGCGGAGGTGCCGTGGGCTGCTCGGCAGCCACCGCACCCGCAGGCGCCGCACCAAGCAGCACCAGGCAGCACCGCCACGGCCTGTGCCTCGGACCCTGTAAGCGCAGAGGTCCGCCGCAGGCCGTCGGCCCAGCTGTCGTCGAGCAGGTCACTCTCGCTCGACACCGCGAGGGCCGCCTCCGAGTTCCCCACCTCCGTCTCGTCGAGGCACCCGTCCTACGCCTCGCCAGCAGGAGCGACCTCGCTCGACTTCGCCACGCCCGCCAAGGGCTGCTCGGCCACTCCGCCGCCGCCACCCAGCTCCCCGACGGGGGGCACCGCGGCGCCCGCCATGCCCCGGCCGCGCGGCCTCCGACGCCGCCGCAGCGCCGCCTGGTCGTCCACGGGCACGGGCGCGGGCGCCGCCGCGGGCGCACTGAGCATGGCGACGAATGCCCCCAGCAGCCCCTCCGCGGCCCGAAGCAGTCGCACCCCCTCGCGGGAGTGCGCCGTAGCTTTGCCGCTGGCCGCGTGCGCCGCCATCAAGGCGCCGCGCGACGCCTCCAGGGCGCGCCCGCGTCCCCAGCATCGCCCCAGCGGTGGCGCTCACCGAGGGAGGCGCCAAGCAACCCAGGGTTTGAGCCACGGTGGTACCAGGATAGAGGGGATGTGGGGTCATGGGCTCTGGCGTGGAATCAATGACGTAGCCAGGCCAGATACAACCTTTCGGACTGATGAACTTAGGCCCCGAGCCTCGATTCAGACGATCCGAAGACTCACGCCTCTGTTTGGACGTGTGCACGATGTGCGCAGGGGACCACGATGCCTAGCTAACTCACGGAGAACAGGGTGGCGAACACAAATGCAAGCCCCCGCCGATCCGAGCATCAGTTAGTTTCCGGGCAAAGCGCATCCTATGAGAAACGTGCACAACTCCCACCCGACATGACATCTCAGCCCCTCCAGCGGCCTGAGACCAGCCCCCGCCTCCTCCAGCAGCGCGCAGTCGGACTGCAGCCAACCGTTCGGTGGGAGGAGTGGGTGGAGTGGAGGGGGGAGGATGGGGGAGGGAGGGAGGAGGAGGAGGAGGAGGAGGAGGAGGAGGAGGAGGAGGAGGAGGAGGAGGAAGAGGAGGAAAAGGAGGAGTTGGTGGGGGAGATGGGGGGAGAAGGGGGGGGAGGAAGAGGGGGAGGATGAGCAGGGGAGGGACCCACCAGGAACGAGGAACTCACCAAGGAGCCACCAGGCCGAAACGGCGAGGACCGCAGCGGCGACGGTGGCGACGCCGTCGCCGCGCCGCCTTTGGCCGGCCGCCAGGGTCGCGCAGGACCTCCGCGAGTACACGCGGCGGGTCGAGCTGCTGCGGGCGCGCGCCGCCGCCGCCCGGTTCCCCTCCAAATGGTTCGAGTCGGAGGTTGCTATCGGGCAGTGCCGAGATGTGTCGGAGGTTGACACCGGCGCTTTCGAGGGTGATTAGAACGACGCCACCCCCCCGCCCCCGATTTCAAAGTTCAGATTCTCGTGCAGACCGCAGTTTGCAAAAGTGGGCTTTTTTGTTCGAAGCGACTTGCCCTCCCCAGGTCGACCGCCGCGGACTCTGATCGGGGAGGGTCGAGGTTCGGGGATCGGGGATCGAGGTTCGGGGGTCGAGGTTGGGTGCGCAATCTGCTGCACGCAGCTCGTTTCGACTCCACCGCCGGGCGCCTTCCTCGATAGATTGGCACCTCCGGCGCCAGTAGGCGCTGAGAAGATCAGCTTCCCAAGCTGATCTGCGGGCCCCGCTCCCTGTACAACCCCCCCCCCTCTTCGTCCGACCCGACGAGGGCTCGAGGAGCGAGGTCTTTGGATGCGCCTCTCGAGGGAGGGCCAGTCGAGACAACGGCGGCCCTGCCTGGCGTTTCTGGTTCTTGGCGACCCTGTGGAGGCCTCTCGTCGGCAGGGCTGGACCCGCTTCGAAAGACGGGTCAGGCCTGGCCACGGGCCGGGCGGCTCTTCCGCCCGCCCCACGGCCGCTCAGATCAAGCAGTGGCGAAGCGTCCTGGCCCAACCAGAGGCCCACCAAAGAATGTTCTAATTCGAAGAACCTTTTGCGGTCTGCACGAAATGTTCGTAGAACATTTCTGGCTGATGCTGTCTTGATTTAGCACATCGGGGTTATGTTCTGAGAACATGGCTCTTGTTCTTAGAACATTTTTGGGGTTCTAAGAACATGTCGTGGTAGGCCTAATGGAATGCCGGGACGGTCGGTCCCTGCTCAATCACCCCCCCCCTTCGAGGTCGATCCGGAGTTTCACCATAACCGTTCGGAACATGTCTTTCGCAACGTACTTTGCCTGACTGGTCGCGCCCGTTGGCAGGCCGTTTCGTTTCGGCCTCCGACTGCGCAATTTGTCGCAACAAGTAGCAGGTGATTTTTTCCTGGACGACGAGTGCGCACCCTAATTACTGACTATTGGCGAAACCAGTAGAAGGCCGTTTTTCTTTTTCGTTACCGAATACGCAACCTAGTAGCCGGCCAGTTTATGGTCTGGACGCCGAGTGCGCAATCACACGCTCTTCTTGCGCAAACCATGGACGGCGCAAACCTTGGCGCAACACACAGCGCAACCAGTGGAGCATGGCGCACCCCATGGCGCACCCCATGGATGGCGCAACTCATGGCGCAACCGAGCGTGAAACCCACGCGTGGATGGCGCAACCTGTTGCGCAACCAATGGCCCAGAGTGGGCGGCCCTTGCAGTTTTTGCGAGGCTGCGCCCGATAGGCGTTCGCCGCTTAAGCTTGCGGTGGGGCCCAAACTTCGAGCTTTCTGTTTGGTTGGTTTCTCATTCGCTTTTGTTGTTCTCTCTCTCTCTCTCTCTTTTTCCCTACCTAGGCTCTGCCTAGAGGGGTTCTTACTGTGTGTGCTTAAAGGGCCGGGCAGTGGACCCCGCCCCGGGCGGTTCCCCCGGCATCCGCCCCGCGGTTCCCCCAGGATCCGCCCCGCGGTTCCCCCAGTTACGTCCCCTGGGCTCACCCAGCTTAGCTTAGCTTGGCTTAGCTTGGCTTAGCTTAGCTTATCTCATCATAGTTTAGCTTAGCTTAGCTTTGCCTAGCCTAGCTTAGCTTAGCTTAGCTTAGCTTAGATTATCTCATATTAGCTTAGCTTAGTTTAGCTTAGCTTAGCTTAGCTCATCTTGGCTTGGCTTAGCTTAGCTTAGCTGAGCTAATCTTAGCCTAGCCTAGCTTGGCTGAGCTTAGCATAGCTTAGCTTACCTTAGCTTAGGTTTGCGCAGCGCAGCATAGCGCAGCGCAGCATTAGCACAGCATAGCATAGCATGGCCAATCATAGCATAGCATAGCATAGCATAGCTCAGCATAGCATAGCATAACACAGCATGTCATAGCGCAGCATAGCATCGCATCTCATATCATAGCATTGTTTAGCATAGCACAGCACAGCATCGCATAGCATAGCACAGCATAGCATAGCCTAGCATAGCATAGCATAGCGCAGCATAGCATAGCATAGCATACCATAGCGCATCATATCATATTATATCATAACCTAGCATACCATAGCATGTCGCAGCATAACAAAGCATAGCATAGCGCAACATAGCATCGCATTGTATAGCACATCACAGCGCAGCATAACACAGCATAGCATAGCCTAACATAGCACAGCGCAGCCGAGCGTACCCTAGCATAGCATAACATAGCATAGCGCAGCATAGCGCAGCATAGCAAATCATAGCATAGCATAGCATAGCGCAGAGTAGACGGCATGTAGATGCAGGTGTAGATGTAACTGTAGCTGTCGGTGTAGATGTAGATGTTGCTTTCCTAACTGCTCCAACTCCTAGGTAGGGTCGCACTGGGATACTTGTGTCTCTCTCTCTCTCTCTCTGTGTCTCTGTTTCTCCCTCTCCATCTTTCTCTCCCTCTCTCTCTCTGTCTCTCTCGTATCCCTTTTCTGTCCATGACTGTTGTGCTTGTTGACTCTATATATATATATATATCTATTCTGTGTGTCTCTCTCATGATGTATAGATAGATGTCTCTCTCTCTCTATATATATGTATACACGTGTCCCTCTCCATCTCTTTCTCTCTCTTTCTCTGTCTCTCTCTTTCTCTTTCTCTTCATCAGTTGTCCTATCTCTTTTTTTCTCTCTCTCTCTCTCTCTCTCTCTCTTCGACCATAACGCTTCCCTTGCGCCATACCTCTTCCTCTTCCCCAGCCATCCCCCTTCCACTGATTACCTCCCCCGTCCTCTTTTTTCTCTGGCCGACAGGGGGTCATGGAGGGTGGGAGGCGTCTGTGTTGGCCCGCAGCCCACTGGTTGGAGGATGGCTTCTGGCTGCATCTCGGCACCGTGATGTTTCCAGCCCCTATTTGGGCCCAAGGCCCAGACATGCTCGCGTCGTACAAAGAAATGCATGACGAGGGTGTTCCGTCGTTTTCGGCTTCTGACAGCCCTCGCCGGGCCCCAGGAGAGTTAGACAACGACGCAGGACGAACAGCTGGTCCTGGGAAAAAGCTGGACTCTTGGGGACCGCGTATTGAACACATCTGGACATCGTATGCCTGGGGTTCGGTATGGCTCTGCGCACCAGTCCTGGAGTTCCATGGGGAGGGGATCAGGCTGCCCACGGCTGGCAGGAAGTCTGGGGGTTGCCCGAGGGGAGCCCCTCTCCCGAGCAGGGGCAAAGGGAGGGGGGGGGGGGTACAGGCAAGGAGGCTCAGCAGAGGAGGAGGGAGAAGGCCCAGGAGGACAGAGGGGGAAAAGGCAGGAGGGGATTGGGGGATGGCCGTGCGGATGGGGACGGGGACTGGGATGAGGACGGGACGGGCAGCGTGGGACAGAAGGGGAGGGAGAAGAGAGATAGACAGAGAGAAGAGAGATAGTGACAAAGGAAGCACAAGCAACATGACTCAGCAAAGAGAGGGAGATTGGCAGGACGAGTGAGCTCGCATCGCATCTGACATCATGCCCTTCCCGCCCATCCCGTTCCCACTGCGCCCAGGCCTTCATCACTGGCACGTCCAGTATGGAGACATCGTCTTGCGATTTCTGCATTGCGCCTGCTGCTCTTGAGCCCGTCGCGTCGAGGGGGAGAAGATGGAGGCCGAGGTGCTGCCACTGCTTTCACCGCCACTGCTGCTGCCGCCTGTCTTGTCCCTGGCCCCCGTCCATCCTTGTGCCTCCGCGCAGGCAGACATCGACCGTGAGCGGCGCGACACGCGCAGCAGGGATCGCCCCGCCGCGCACCGCCTGGGGAGCGGGCTCTGTACGCCCACACAAACAGGGCGTCCCTGAACGAGCATTGGCTTCAAGGGCATGCAGGTGGAAGGCCCACAGAGCTAAGCTGTATGGCGGCCTGGCAAGCGAATGCCTGGCGGAAACACTGGACCGCATCTGAGCAGAAGGGTGACTTCTCCTGCGCTGCAGCACCCTGGAGGTCGACCTGAGAATCAGGGGGGTCTGCGAGACGAAGTGGGAGGCACCACAAGGGAGCCCACAGAGGGCGCTATGGGGGCTGGGTCCGGCTCGCACCAGACAGATGCCTCTAGTTCGTGTGTTGCTAGAAGTGCCCCTGGGCCAAGGTGCCCCCAGGATCCTACGGGTAACCCAAACGGCCTCCAGAGCACCCCTCACGAGGCCCAGAGGGCCCGAGGGGCTCCAAAATAGAGCGAGAAAAGCTGGGGGCACCTTCGGGCCATGGGGTCCACCCGATATAGCTTCCTACAGGATCCGGTTTGAACAAGGGACACGTTTTTGTCAAAAGGGGCTCGGTCGTTCCTTTGATTTGCATGCGTTCCGCTACCTTTTTGGCGGCGAGCCCCCTTGGTGTTCCTTCGGACTTCCTAGGCTTACTTGGGAAAAAAGGGGCTTCGTTCCTTATTTGTCGTTCCTTAGGGCAGGCCGAAAACTGTACCGTACAGCTGCTGAGGTTGGGGCCCAGGCTGGGAGGGCAGAGGCCATCCCCTGGCTCCAGAAGCCCCCGCCCCCCCCTCGGCGCGTGCGCCCGGCCGCGCAGGACGGGGAGCATCGGTGGAGCGGCACAGGAGCGCCCACCCGGCCCCCGCCTCCGACCCCGCCCTCTTCATGGCCGCCGACGTCGTCGGCCATGCCAGGAGGGGAGGAGGAGGAGGGGAGAAGGAGGAGGAGGAGGAGGAGGAGGAGGAGGAGGAAGAGGAGGGGGGGTCCTCCTCCTCGCGCCTCCTCCTCCTCGCTCCTCCTCCTCCGGAGTCGAAGCGGGTACGGAAACGAAGGGGACGCAGACCAACAGCAGTTCCTGTCCATTCGAGACAGATTCGCAGTCGGCGCCGCCGCGGGCATCATCCACTTGAGGCAGACTGTCGCTTGCCCAACAGCGGCCGCCGTGGGTTTGAGACGACATTTGCTGCTGGGTATGGTACCCGGTTATCCGTACCCAGATCGGTCGTGCGAAGTGAGGGGGGTTGTTGGATGTCAGGCGCCCCCGCTGGCAAGCCAAAGGTTTGGTGCCAGCTCCAGAGGTGTCGTCCTTACAATTACCGAGTGGAACAAGAAGTTGTCTAGCCGTTCCGAGGGAAGATGTTTCGCTAGGCGCGATAGCGGCGACGGCGTTTTGCGCAATGGCGCCAGCGTGCGTCGCAGCCCAGGCGCGCGCAGTACATGAGTTGTCCAAGGCAGCTTCGGCGCCTACAGACGGAAGGCCAGGCCATGTGGCGCAAAGTGGAGAAGTTCGAAGCAGCGCCTGCAACTAAAGGGGGAACCTTGACCCCGCCCGCCGAGTATCGTCTGCTTCGGGCTTCTCGGCGCCCAGATCCCCGCCCTGAAAGGGTACACTGCGAAATCGAACCCACCCTGTCGTGGGGATGGGGACGGTTCCGACCTATGATCGTGAGCTGACAACTAGCACTCATACCTGTACGACCTCCAAAATTCCTGGGGTGGCATCCCATGCGGGGGGGGGGCCATGGGTGTGTGTTGTCCAGTGGGCCCCCCCGCTCAAACCAGAGCCCCCTCGGGGTCCGACAGCTCGCACCCATGCCGACGACGCCAGCATCGTCCTCCTCCCTACAGGTTTGAGTGTGTGTGTGTTGTGCTCTTATCAGGAGGGACGAAGAACTACATAAACATAGCAACTCGAGGTCCGTGCAAAATTCTCGGATCGGCATTGGACCCCCATCCCTGGCGCGCGGAGCGTGCCAGGGGCTCGCACCCATGCCGACGACGCCAGCATCGTCCTCCTCCCTACAGGTTTGAGTGTGTGTGTGTTGTGCTCTTATCAGGAGGGACGAAGAACTACATAAACATAGCAACTCGAGGTCCGTGCAAAATTCTCGGATCGGCATTGGACCCCCATCCCTGGCGCGCGGAGCGTGCCAGGGGCGGCGCCGGAGGCGCCGCCAGGCGGGGCCCAGCGCCTATCCGAGGAATCCGCGTGGACCTTCCAGTCTTCATGTTTATGTCGTTGTGTGTTCCCGTATGATCAGCTGAAGGTTTGCTGATTCCTAGTGGCGAGGCTCGTAGGCCTCGACTCGTCACGTTTTTCGGGGGCGACGCTCGAGAGCAGGGCGGGTTTCCTCCTCTTCTTCCTCCTCCTCCTCCTCCCCCTCCTCCTCCTCCTCCTCCTCCTCTTGTGGGAGGAATACCAGGCCCAGTTCGGGCCCATCAACATTTCCACCCGCCGGCGTACCCAGACTAAGGTCTCTGTGAAATTGATAGCGTCCCGCCTTGATATTTCGATTCGGACCCTCTCTGCCCGGAGGCTGAGGAAATGTGACCCAAGTATTACGGTGATCAGGTTTGGGCGTATTGGTGATGTCCTTCCCCTGTTGATCCATTCATCCACACCTCCCCGCTCAAGACTGTCAGCAAGAGTTGGAACACCACCAGAAGGTACAGGCAGCAGGTTGGGCCAGGTGTATTCGAATGTCAGAATATTGCCTCTGATTGTCTCGACCACTATGTTCTGTGTCTTGCAGTACTTGAATATCTCAAATCGCTTCTCCCAGCTCTGCCCGTGAGTTCCTGCTGTAGTCCTCATTGTGTCATCCTCCCTCACCTCTGGCAGGCCAGCACCCCTGAATCTCTTTACGCGCACGCCGTTGCTATCGATTGTCTCCATTATGCCTTCTGCTCTCTTCGTCTCAGCTTTGCCAGTTCTGCCGTATCCAAAGCCACGATTTTGGGCCGTCTTTGTTCCCCCGCTCGGCGCTCACAGCGTGTGCGGGCTTTAGCTACGGGATCAGGGACATGGCAAGGGGTGCGCCTCCTCCTCCTCCTTCTCCTCCTGCTCCTTCTCCAACTCCAACTCCTTCTCCCCCTCCTCCGCCTTCTCCTCCTCCTCCTCCTCCTCCTCCTCCACCTTCCTCTTATCCCATCCCACTTAGAATCTCTCGACTTCTCTGTAAAAAAAAGCTCTCGCGTGAGCCGCCGTGAGCCCGAGATCCGTGCTAACAGCGGTCGACCCTCGTCAGGTTCGAGCGCGGTCGGCACCCGGCTGTGGATTCATGGATGTTCTTCCCTTCGAAGGGCCTGTGCGAACAACTTGGGTTCGCCTCTCTATCGCTCGTTCCTCCTCCCCCTTTTCCTCCTCCCCCCCTCCTCTCCCTCATTCCTCTCCTCCCTCCCTGCCGGGCAGGGCGGGATGTAAGTACTGACTGCCAATGCTGCTTCTGAGCTTGATGTTCTAAATTTGTGACCCGCCCTCCACAGGGAGGGAGGGGGGGGGGGGGCAGACGGCGCTGCAGAGCTTGCCGCTTCCTCCGGCGGAGTCGCTCCGATCTCTCCTTCCGACTCCTTCCCCTCCCTCCCTCTCTTGCCCCCCTCCTTCCCCTCCCTCCCTCCACCTGTCCTGCGCAGCCGCGGCCAGGCTCGCCGGTCGCCGCTGCCGCCCCGGCGGGGCAAGAGGCCGCCACGGGGCCAAGGGGCTCGGGTTTGTTTCGATCGGAGGGTGGTCGAATTCGGTCGCAAGTCTATGGGGGCCTTTTCGCGTAGCAGACCATGGGAACCCTCTGTGTCCTCCTAGCTCCGTCTCTGGAGTGCGTCAGCGTGCGCTGGCGTCTTTTAGTCGATGAGGGGGCGCCGATTCTGCGTTGATGATCGTCGGTGTAGCGCAGACTAGAGTCTACCTAGCGTCGGTTAGCGCCGATCAGCGTCTATGCGCAAGAGCCGGTAAGAAGGGCATGGGAGGCTCCCATGAGTTGCCACCGAATTAAAAGAAGGGGCAACCTTCGGGAGGGGGATAGGCTCAGGGGGGACTGGGGGAGCTTCGAACCCCGATCTCCAATCGATCGCCGATGGTAGGGCCGACAGCCCGCCCCGCTCAGGACCGTGCGGGTTATTGTGGCCACCGGGGGCGTATCGCGCGTCTCAGCGCTGTGTCGCAATTTTTCGGGGGCTACGCCCACTGGATCTGTCCTTGGGTCGATTTTACCAAACGGCGTTTGACTTTAGATGCGCATGTGTCTTTATATACCGAGAGACAAGGAAAGAGAGGGAGATAGATCTTTGTCCACCCACGGTTCGGGGCTATCGCTGTCAGCGGCTCCAGACCTCATGGGGTGTTCGAGGTTTTAAATTCAATGTTGGCAGTACCTCGGGTCGTACATGAAGCCTTAGCGGCAGAAGGTCCGAAGCAGCTTCACACAGCCATGACGGGGGGCCGATTTCGGCGGCGTGGTCTCCATCACCAGGCGTTGAAAACATGATGTCGGACCCTTGCAGACAAGCTGCTTGGGGAAAAATCCCGATGGAAGGTTAGTGTTTCCTTTCTGTTTATGAGGGGCATTACGGGGCTTCGGGACCATCACCCACCCCCATGCACACACACATACACACATTCACAACACACTCACACACATGCACATACACACAAGCACACACGTACACACGTACACACACACACGCACACGCACACGCACACGCACACGCACACGCACACGCACACGCACACGCACACGCACACGCACACGCACACGTACACACGCACACGCACGCACGCACACGCACGCACGCACGCACGCGCGCACGCGCGCACGCGCGCACGCGCGCACGCGCGCACACGCGCACACGCGCACACGCGCACACGCGCACACGCGCACACGCGCACACGCGCACACTCGCACACGCGCACACGCGCACACGCGCACACGCGCACACGCGCACACGCGCACACGCGC